GACAACCTTGCGACTGCGAGCCGATTGCTCGACTACTGAGCAACCTGGCCGGTTTCAATCACTGAGCACATTGATGCTGTCGTTCAAACTCTGCCCAACACCATCAGGCTTTCCCTTACGTTACACATTCATGCAAAGGAGCTCCGACGCAGCTGCACACCCACCAGGGCATGCGGAGTGGCCTGTGAGCCCTGCAGGACGAGCAGCTTGAGCAGAGACACCTCGCTGTCGGGAGAGATGAAGTAAGGCCGGGGAAACAGCTCCCGCAGCAGCCGAGTCCCCGCGACCCGCTGCGTCTTCCTGAAATGGACACCGTTCACAAGCATTGGCCACCTCCTGCAACCGCATCTCAGTGATCGTGCACTCTCCACTTATTAATTTTAACACAGTTAAAAGCACAATGCACGACCTAATTTTTGTATGGCTCTGTTTATATCAATTTGTCCATCCACTGCTGGATGAATGCCTCCGTGTCAGTTACGGGGGATGTTGGACCATTCTTCACCATGCTGGTCAGCGCGGATTGGTGAAAAGTGTGGTGTTGGAGGCCTAGGACCAGTTCAGATCTGACCTGCCACTAATGTAGGCTGTGGCCAGGAACCAAATTCGGGGTGTCAGGTTGATAGCAGAGTGTGGAAACCACTGTGCCCCAGCTCCACTCTACAGCTATGTAACAAGTCCTTAACTTAAAACTAATGCCCACATCTCAAGAGATTTTTGACCTATGACCTCGTCTTTTCTGCGGCTAATAAACTCCTAAAATGTGGATGAGGCAGGAGTGTAGCACACACACACACATGTCGCACTGTAGGGATTACAGTAAATGTGTTATGCACAGTTATGGTGGACTGTGGATGATCTGTGTGTGTAACGTCATTAGTCAGTTTATCAGTCAAAGCAATTAGTTGAGACATTTCAAATAATTAGTGCCAACTTGTTTGAGTCTGGCCTTCGTGAAACGAAATGACTATTGAGGGTTGCCATGAGATGTGGTCAAATGTAAATGCCTCCATAATAAAGTTGTTTTTTGGGTTAGATCACGTGAATATAAACGTGTTGTTAAACCCGACAGCCAATTAGTAAGGTTTGCCACGTAAACATAACGTGCCAATTAGTTACTACTTCAGCACACCGGTGTGTTGAAGAGTAAACCAGAATTGTCTGGCAAAACATCGTACTCAAATTGTAAATGTTGTGTAATGTGCCCAATCTTGGCAGCTAAGCAGGCTTGAGCCTGGATAGTGCCTGAATGAGTGGCCACCATTTATAAAAAGTGTTATAGGCTACGGGGCTATGCTGTGAGCAGCAGAGGGCAGTGCAGTGAGATCCTTTATTATTCTGCACGGTTATGTCTCCTTGTATATTATCCCCCACCTTCACCAACCCGCACTCGCCAGCAGAGTGTAGTATGGTCAAACAACCCCCACAACCCGCATGGCATGGGAAGGCCCACATCTAGCAGTGGATTAACGAAAGGCTCTATGTGCGTTGTGAAGAGACAAAACTACTGCGATGTAAACAAGGCTGTTGCTTGCCAGTCAGTTATGTGGCATTGGATTTTAAGAATGAATCAGAGCCTCGTATAGTAAGTGTGAAATTTAATGCTTGCACGTGTAATGTTAATGGAAGTTTTCCACATTGACATATATTTCAAAGAGGTCAATTGATGTTCGAGTTGCAAGTGACCAAGTAGAGGGAGGTACACACACACCACTGGAATGTTGTGGAGCTCCGAGCTAGTATCTCCTCAGTGGGAAACAGCCGGAAGAGATGGGAGAAACTGGACACAGAGTCGTTGCTGCAGGAGACTTCATCGGGACGCAAGTCCAGGGTCTTCCCATGCACCGCATGCAAGTGCTGGACGTCTTCCAAACCCACGTGGTCCTTCTGTCCGCCCTGTAAACACCACCGACCGCGATCTCAGCATTCACCAGTCAATTGCAAGGGCATCTTGCAGTGACAGAACAGACGGACAAAGTTGTGTGTTAATGTACGACTGCCCGCCAAATGTATTTGAAAATCCTATGTGGCCCTCGGTAAGGACAAGGTTCCCCACCCCTCCCTAACGACAAGAGGATTCGCGAGTAAGCCAACGGATGAGATCAGTTGTCTCTCTAACGACGAAATGTAATTGACAGTGGCACAACGCAGAATTTCTATGACAGCTCTTCAGCGGCGCTCCTTCCGAAGCGACACGGCCCCAAAGCGGTTACCTTCACAAGCACGGGGTCAGCCTGGCCATAGTAGTACTGCGTAAAATTCGAGAATTCGTCCAGCAAGATGACGCTCTTCACGGCAGCGCAGAACGAGCAGTTTGGTGTGGGGTCCGAGTAAAGGGGGTTGTAGACGAGGCACTCCTGGTCGTGGTACGCTGTGGGGAGGCACCCGCACATGCCGGTCGATGGGCAAGCTACAGCACAGCCTCACAGCTAGGGGAGTGCATCGCAGAATGGTGACTGCACTTGCTGGGCTGCAGGGTGGTGGCACGGTGGCACCTGCCAGGTTGTATCTCCCCATGAGACTGCACCTGCCAGGTTGTATCTCCGCGTGATGGGGAGTGTGAGAAGCCGCACGCGTCGCAGCGCATTGTAGACCCAGCGCTGCGTATGCCGAGACACGAGCTGCTGAGTGGGTGGGTGCAGCCAGAGGCACGCGTAATACGTGAGCAGCAGCACAAGCGGCACGGCCAGTACCTGTCACACGGCACAGCCCGCACAACACACACAGCACTCATTAACATACACACATCACACACACCACGCATTAATATTATTCACACAACACACACAGCAACAACCGCCATTCGCCACTAAGTGGTGGTGACGTCACCACGGCGCTTGTGCCAAGCTAAGTGCACGTTCAGGCCATGTGAAGTGTCGAGTGCCTGCTGGCAGGTCATGGGACAGACCCAGGTGCCATGGGTTGCCTGAATGAGATGACTAGCTGATGCACCACATGTGCCGCCTACTGTGCCAAATTGCTATGCTTTAGCTACCCAGTGCTCCACAAGTTGTTGTGAGCGTTGCTCCTCTGCCCTCCGTTGTTGCGTCCTTCACAAGCCTCCTCCACAGAGGCCGATCTTGACACCACTGGTACCAGCCATCAGCAAGTCCACTCAGCTCCACATCCTCCTGCAGATCACTCCATCTCTTCTCTAGCCCGTGCCGCGCCCGTTTAGCCCCCTCAATCCGGCCGAACAAAAGCTGTTTAGGCATGCGGTGGCCGGGCATGTGGGCTACATGACCCAGCCAACGCAGCCTTACCTGCCGGAGCTCACCGATGGGACTTTGCTCAGATCTTTCGAGGATTTGTCAGCTCCTCACACAATCCAGCCTGGTTGAACACAGGATGGATAGTAGGCAGGCCAGCCTAAATGTTTCTAACTGGCGAAGATGTTCCATTGGGGGGAGGGGGGTCAACGTTTCACAAGCAAAGAGAAGGGAGGGCATGACCCTCGCGGAGAAGACCTGAAGCTTCGTGCGGAGCGACAGATCAGGTAGCTTCCACACAGCAGCGTTACACAGCCGATGAAAAGATATTGCCGCTCGACTGATTCGGAGTGAGACCTCTGCTGTCAAACCGCAGCCAGTCATGAGCACACTGCCCAGGTATGGAAAACTCTCCACTCTCTCCACAACTCCCCCATCACCAATTGGGAGTTGTGGTGGAGTGTTTGATGACACAAAATACCCAGGCAGGTTTTGGTGAGGCTGGTATTAAGGCCCCACCCACCTCTTAGGTGCACGCTCTAGGTTCAGCAGCAGCGCCACGCCATACAGCACCCATCAATACACACACAACACACACAGTACGAATTAACACACAGCACCTATTAGCACACGCTGCACATAACAGAGCCCCACACAGGCTCTATTAAAGGGCGGGCTCCAGGGGGGAGGGGTGTTAACGAGCATCTCATATTGCACGGTCCGCTACTTACGGTGCGAAAGAAGTTTAACAAACAGTACCCTACATACATTAGGGCCGGTACGGAACTCCAACGGGTGGTGCGGCGGCCACCACGCCCGGCCGCCTTTGTCTCCCTAATGTTGATGGTTGATTACACATCACACTTAACCGCCATGACTGTAGCTGTTGTGCCAGGTTAGGTGCGCCCCGAGACACGTGCCTCCCTCCTCGCCTTGAGGGCTCTGCCCGCGCTTCCCGCCTCGAGGCCGCGCTTCGCGGGTCCCCGCGAAAGACGCCATTCCTCCTCCTCTCTCTCCTCCCCGTCCTCTCTCTCCTCCTCGTCCTCTCTCTCCTCCCCGTCCTCTCTCTCCTCCCCGTCCCCAGGGCCCCCCGCGTGGCGGCTCAGCGCTTCGCGGAGCCCGCGACGCAGCTCGCGGAGTGGGGGGCCCGGGCCCCACGAGTCGCGCAACTCCGCGGCGCGGCGAGGGACGAGGAGGAGGAGAGCGGAGCGAGACGGCACGGGGGGCCGCATGGGAGGGGTGGGGGTGGCGTGAGATGGGGTGAGTGTTGTGAGAGTGGAGAAGTGTGAGATTGAGTGAGAGTGATTGTGGAGGAGAGACGTGAAGTGCTGGCGAGAGACCGACGGGGGGAGGGGATTGCACTGGGCGAGACTCACGCATCGACGATCCGATTCGTGCACGCGGAGCGCTGAATCGCGACGCGGATCGGATCGCGAGCGGCCGTCGGCAGGATGCGAGGATGTGGAGCTGAGTGTGTCGATGGTACCAGCGGTGGCCACATCGACCTCTGTGGAGGAGGACGCTTGTGAAGGACGCTACTCGGCAGTGCCAGGCTAGGTGCACGGTGAGGCTACTGGGCAGTCGCCCTCGAACAACAGCGGAGGACCGGCGCTCACAACGAGCGGAGCGCCGGGCGAATAAAACGCAAAGTCCGGGGGGGGGGGGGGGCACAGGCGGTGCATCTCTGCCAGTCAACCCATGGCACCTAGGTCTGTCCCGTGATCTGTCAGCAGCGAGCTTTCCACACTTCACATGGCCTCAAGGTGCACGTGGCCTGGCACAAACTCGATGGGAACGTTACCGCCACCTGGTGGCGACCGGCGACTGTTGTATGCGACGAGTGGAGTCCGGTCGGGGCCGCGTGACGCTCAACTCTGGTGGCGATCGTCGTCGTCCGCCAGAGCCGTCCCGAGGGGTGCAGCCATTCGGGGCGACTGCCTCGTGCCCTGCGCTTTTGGAAGAGGGGGGCGCATCGCGCTTCAACGTGAAGATGTCAGATGGAATACTTCCTCTTTGAAGGGGGATCCCGCATTCCTCTCCGATAGATGGCCCTGTTCACCACCATCTCATCATCATCGTGCTTATGATTGATAATATTGATGAGAATGCCGATAAGAAATTTAGCGTGTATGTTGAACTTCTTTCGCACCGTACGTAGCCAACCGTTGATCATCGGAGGCGCTGGGGTAGGGGTAACGCAGCAGCTGTGACGAAGCGCTTCATAGCTAATCGGAATCATCTCTCCTAAATAATGATTCTGACCAGACATTGCAATAATGTAACGTGTGCGGTGTAGAGCAGATGTGTAGCTGTGAACACTGAGACGCGTGCATCAGAGGTGACCCCTGCGTGGAGAGGAAACGCGTCCACGACTGGAACCACCAATTCGAGCTCAGAACAGCATCAGCGTGCGCGGTGGAGTATTAGGATTGGCACTACTGATGTGAATGACCGTACATAGCCAAACGCTGCTAATCGGAGGTGCGGGGGAAGGATAACAAGCTAAACACAAGGCAGTTATAAAGAAATCAGTTTTCAATGTATATTTAAGAGTGCACAGCTCCCAGTGGCTTCCTAATATCGGAAGAGCGTTCCAGACGGCCGCAGAAGCGCATCTGAAAGCGCGCGGTGCGGTGACAATTTTCGTTCGTGTGATGGTTTATGACGAGAGAACGATGACGACGAATGCTGTCGCTTCGTAGGTGGCACTGCTGATGAATCGTGGATGAAATGCCCGTGGACTCACTGCGTGCTGTACAACCCTGCAGGTCGGTATCTCTTAGCGACCCACCACCGTGCACCCAACACACTCCTCAGTAGCACTGCGTGCGGACATAAATAGGGGAACAAATCATAAAAGGCGGCGTTTTTTGGCAATAGCCCTGAGCACATCCTGAAACGCGATTGCCCGATTCGTCACCTGTTATATATTAGATTTAAGGCGACGCAGCGTCATTGGTACCATTAATATGCATTGACGCTGATATATTACGCTGTTACGTGTGATGTGACTTTTATTAAAACTTGCGTTGTACTGTAAAGCGCTCTGGAATATATTTGGTCTGTTGCACTTTGTAATTATTTGAAACATAAAAAATGGTGAATTGTTGGTTGTGCTTGTGCAACACTGCAAATGCAGCAGCATCAGACGCTGGAGTTATCCCGCCGTGGCGCATTGCCACAGCGCCTTGCACTCAGACACTTGAGAGTTCAATACCCGACCACGGCTGTCATCATTGGCGAATTGTATCTGAAACGAACGGACCTATCGGCGCTCATCCGGAAATTGAGCAATCCGCACTTACCATGGTGGGGAAGTATGGTCGAACAGCCCCATGATTGACAGGCAACATGGAGAGACCCTGATTTTCGTTTGACATTTATTTAAAATGTAAAAACTTTGAACATGTTACAACAGTACAGATGCCACGGTGCTGGGAATAGTTTTCGGTTTTGAACGAGCAAATCAACCTATTGTCGATCGCCCATCCACGTGCACTACGCGTGCTGCACATCATCCTGGCTATCACGACCCTAACTAACCCCCCGGATATGACTTACGGTCAAGGACAAAAGCGTGAACCAATAAGCACATATGTCCCTGCACATAATATAACATATGTAGTTGTTTTACACTTCCCATCAGCCGCACGGCCTTATGGAAGTGCATCACTGCAGCAGAATTGGTTCAACAAGAAAAACTGGACCAGCTTCGATATTCAGTGGACTCATCAGCAGTCAGGCTTGCTTGGGCCAATGCTGGCAAACTGCCAGATGTTCGATATGGGTCCTAGTTTTGACACAAAACTGTATTTAACACACGGAACACAAATGAAAAACGATTGTATGTTGAACTTCTTTCGCACCATAAGTAGACAACCGTGCTCATCGGAGGTGCAGGGGTTGCGTGTCATGTGTCAAAGAGCTCCATGGCTCATCGGATTCCTCCAGTCTAAATAAAGATGACGATTCTGATCACATACATTATATAAAATGTGCAGCTCAGAGTAGATGTGGGGCTGTCGAACACTGAGACGGGACGCGTGCATCAGAAGTGACCCGTGCGTGAGGATGAAACGCGCCCACGACTGGAACCACTGATTCGGGCTCACCTGAGCCCAGCAGCAGCAGCGTGGGTGGTGGAGCATGCCAGATGGGTCCTGCCCACGGCGGAGGTTAATCTCCCATTTCTGTTGTTTATGACCACGGTGCCAGCAGATGGCAGTGCAGCACTCTCACCAAATCCCATTGCTGCACTTTGCTATACAGTACCCCCAACTACTTCTGCCCCCCCCTCCTTCATCAAGCCGCACTGACCAGCGTCGTGAAGTATGGTCAAACAACACACTGCGAACCGCACGGTGTGGGGAGGCCCTCATCCAGCAATGGACTGACACGAGGGCAGTGCGTTGTTTAAAAAAAGGTCAACCGTTTTGGGGACTCGGTTCAAACGAGGTCACTGCTCAACTCCATCGGCAGCACGGATAACGATTAGTAAGTAGTAGTAATAGATCATGCAGCCACCACCACCGCACACACAGTAATGAGCACCGCTCACGCCAGGAGGGCCAACTCACTCCACGGTGGTGGCACTCAAAGCAAGGATTTCTCGGCAGCTTTGTGTGGTGCGATGCGTGAGCTGACCGCTGATGCGTCTGAAACAGAGCGAGCATTCGTATCAAGTGCAACAGCCGTGGCGAGCTGAGTAACAGTCCCTTTCACTGCCACTCTAGACGCATGTATTTAAAATATACATGAAGTATACAGGTTATGCTGCTCCCCAGTAAAATGTGTTTTTTTGGAAGGGACTATACATTCGTATCCACCATCACCCAAACGTGTTGGCCATTCAAATAAGAAGTGCATTGGAAAGCCGACATGAGAGACAAATGCCGGTGGCAGCGATGCATCGATTCCCCGGGGCTTCAGTTCGCAAAGGCTGACTGGAGCTGGCGGAAGGCGGCGCGACGCTGCTGCTGCTCCCCCGCCTGGCGCCGCTTCTCCTCCTGCTCCGCGCGGATCTCCGCCTCGAAGCGGCTCGTCTCCGCCATGGCCTGCACCTGTCGGCACGCACCACGCACGCACAGGCGGCGTCCACATCCAATGCCCTCCTCTACAATGACACGCATTACAATATTATTAATAAACTCCTTTAAAAACAAGGGTTTTATCAACAACTTCGTTTAACTCACGGTCGAGAAGTTCGTCAATGGCGCCTGAGACACGTGATGCCGGCTTTTTGTGCGAGCCGATTCCACCGTTTAGGGACCGCGGCGTTTTTGACCTACACCAATATATATAAACTAGCATAAGTACCCGGCGTTGCCCGGGTGAAAAATATATTTCTTAATAACCTTACATATATACACAGATGGGCTGCTACCCCTGCCCCCCCCCAGCCACGATCTCCTCGGCCGCTGTGCAGTAATATGTACGGCCTATAGTGTGGTGGGGTGTCGAGGCCTAGTACCGTGCAGAGCCTCCGGCCTCGCCTAAATTGCCCACCTGGCTGAGGCTGGGTGCCGGGGCCGTTACCCCCCCCCCCCCCCCGCGCTACAATAATACTGTCTAATCGCTATAATTTTATTATCTACCGACCCTATAATAGTAATAGCACACATTGCGGTGGGGGGGGGGGGGAGTGAAGAGGACGTGAAACTTTGATGAATTTACCTCAGAGTCGCGTGTTAATGCGTGCGCATATTTTTTACGGGAATTAAAAATGGCGTCCATCCCGCAGCGAATGCGTCGCTACCCGTTGCCAGGGGCAACCGCCATCCAATGAAACTGCGTATGGTCCGGCGACACACAGACAGACAGACAGATTTGCGATTTTATATATATAGACTAACATAAGTACCCGCGTTGCCCGGGTGAAAAATATATTTGTTAATAACCTTACATATATACACAGATGGGCTGCTACCCCTGCCCCAGCCACGATCTCCTCGGCCGCTGTGCAGTAATATGTACGGCCTATAGTGTGGTGGGGTGTCGAGGCCTAGTACCGTGCAGAGCCTCTGGCCTCGCCTAAATTGCCCACCCAGCTGAGGCTGGGTACGGGTGCCGTTCCCCCCCCCCCCCCCCCCGCGCTACAATAATACTGTCTAATCGCTATAATTGTATTATCTACCGACCCTATAATAGTAATTGCACACATTGGGGTGGGGGGGGGGGAGTGAAGAGGACGTGAAACTTTGATGAATTTACCTCAGAGTCGCGTGTTAATGCGTGCGCATATTTTTAACGGGAATTAAAAATTAAAAATGGCGTCCATCCCGCAGCGAATGCGTCGCTAACCGTTGCCAGGGGCAACCGCCGTCCAATGAAACTGCGTATGGTCCGGCGACAAACAGACAGACTGACAGACAGATTTGCGATTTTATATATATTGATAATAGAGCGTCCATACAAAATGTGAATTGCTTTAAAGTAGCGAATTAATTGATTAATTGATTTTCATACAGGCATGCATTGTCACCGGATCTTAGAACGTGTGCAAAATGTGGAATTGATTGAACAACGGGAAGTGGACGACATTTTTATTACAAGATTTGACCACGACAAACAGGAATCAAGTTAAGTAAAATCTTTGAAAATAAGTAATATTTAAAATACTTTTTTTTAAACTCGCTTTAATGAAATGTAGTGTACGAGTAATAGCAGAACTCCACGACTCCAGGAAGTGGCCCCGAGGCTTGCCATAACGTAAGGGGCCGTGGTGATTTACAGCCAATGTCAGTTGAGCATGGACAATTAGATCCAAGCCGAAACATAACATAAAAAAGATGGTTTAAAATTTTTTTTATGATAGAATATAGTATTTCCACGACTATGACATACGTATACCAAGTTTGCAGTCGATAGCACACTCGGAAGTGGGTTAAAATTGAGTTACACGATTTAAGGATACAACAACAGAGTGAGTTAAATAAACGCGTGTAATAAAAAGGTATAAATTTCTCCCCCAACTTTATCTCGATTGTGCTGTCAGGGTCACGCCACAGGACGACCTATACAGAGATGCCCGTTTCAAATAACCTCCGGGCCACGCAGTAGAGGGCAGCACCTTCCCAGCCACTCTGCACTGAGCAAATGTTTCGTCGTGTGACAGTAAAGCCGATATTTTTCATTTCCAGAGCTGGAATTTAACCAAATCAGTGGCAAAAAAAAAAATTCAGTGAGATGGCTTTTTTGCAATCTTCTTCTTTCGTATGGCATTTTGGGAAATTGCAACTGATTACAAATTGATGTCGATATTTGATTTCCATTCCACTGCTTCAGGAGTAGCCGCGTGGATTTGTTTCAAATCGCCGACAGTCCTTCACGAGATGTTGCACAGTCTGAGATGTCGCACCACAGTCACGACAAAAATATTACCAATATTTTTGTAATGATTTGTGATCTGGCTGACACCACCCCACTCTTTACATTTGAGGACTGTTTAATCACAGGCAGTTGCCTGTGTAATGCGAGCAAGGAAAGAGGGGGCAGAGTCTGGGTCACGTGAGGAGAAGGAGGAGTCAGGGTCACGTGACAGAGAGGATTTAGGGGGAGAACTGGAAGCGATCTGGGAGTTGAGAAGGAGTGGAAACAGGGGGAGGCCACGCTATTTGTCACGTGGTGAAAGGCCACGGCACCGTCGGCCAACGGTGTACGTGGGGCATAGCAGAGCTAGTGGGATAGAGTTAGTGGAGTCGAGCTAGTGGAGGAGAGCTAGTGGAGTGTGGGAAGCTAGCCGGGTGTGAAGAGCTAGCAGAGTGTGGGGGGCACACGGAGCAGCGGTGTGGCTGCAGAGCGGAGCGGCGGTGGGGCTGCAGAGCGGAGCAGTGGTGTGGCTGCGGAGCGGAGCAGCGGTGTGGCTGCAGAGTGCACGGGGGAGGAGGTGTGGGTCTGAGCGAGGACACCGCAGGGGCGAGAGAGATAATAACCCGAATAAAAGACAACGGAGACCTACACTGTCTGAAGAGTCCTTTATTACATTGGTGTCAGAAGTGAAACGGCATGTCGAACAGCTCAGAAGAAAGAACATCCCTGCACCATCTTCTGCACCATCTTCTGAAGACGATCTTCCTCTGGCGGTGGCGCTACCGACGATGGAAGGAGGAGGCGACGCAGGGGCGAGCGACGCGCCGGGGGTGCAGGATGTTACCGGCTCAGCAGGTCCGTCCGCGTTGGTGGACGCCGACGAAGGATGGCGACACGTGGCGGCCCAACTTGAGTCGCTGAAGGCTGTTTTAACGCAGTTATGCACCCTGGTGACGCCCACGATGAGTTCGGGGAGGCCAAGCGGGGACCATCCGACTGGGGCCTTGCCGACGCTGCCAGCACTCTCCAACACGCGGCACGAAACCGCCATCTTGGGAGTGGCTGGGGAGGAACGGCGGGAAGCCGCCATCTTGCTGCCTCCACCACGGGGAGCCGCCATTTTGAACACGTTGCGGAGTGACGCCATCTTGTCGCTGCCGCACGAATCACCATCGACGGAAGACGGCGGAGCGGGGACCCGCAGCCATCGTCTAACGACTGTGAAAGAGTTCTCCATCGGCAGAGATTGGAGCGCATTCGCCTGCCGTTTTCAAGCGGCTGTACGATCCGCGAAATGGACGGATGCGGAAGCCTTGGAGGTCCTGCCAACGCTTCTTGACGACGAGTCCGTCAGGTTCTTCCGCTCCATCAAGGCCGTGTTTGGGGTGTTTGAAGAAATGGCGGAGGCGTATGAGCCCCCGGACGATGCTCATCCTAGGTCCGTGCGCGGCAACGGGCACCTGAAGAATCGCCGGTGGCATTCCGGGGCGCTGTGATGGAGCTAGCTATGGCCGCGTATCCGGAGACAGAGCCCGATTTGTTGGAACCTCTGATATTGGGCAAGATGTTGGAGTTATCCAGGGACTTGGGCATCCCCATGCCGGTGTGCGGGCACAATAAGTTAACGTCCCGGGCGGCGGCTAAGTGCCAGGATGCCCAATTTAACCTTCGACGGTGGAAACAGGTGTCAGCTTGGACAGGGGGCCCCACTGTCGAAGGCGGTGCGACAGGGTGGGACCCGAAGAAGGCTGTCTACGTTCGAGACAACAGGGGTCCTGAGGAGTTGATGGCAGCATCCACCCAGTGGGCTGCTCGAGGGGGAGCAGGGTTGTGCTCTGGGACGCCGGCGCGGGAGCGCCAAGACAGAGGGGGTGCTGCACGGCGAACCGACTTGGCGTGTTTCCGCTGCGGCCGTAAGGCCCACTTCGCCAGAGAATGCTGGGCTCGCATTCTGCGGCCGCCCCAGCAGGAGGCCTCGGCCACAGACGCGAAGCGGCAGGACCATCCACGACAGGCAAGTCGGTACGCATCAGACATCCGGCAAGGCCTGTCATCTCATGCATCACCATCGCCGCGCGGTCCGCGTGCCATTAATAACGGGGGGGCGGTGATTGACCCATGTCGCTCGCTGACGCAGTGGCGGAAATTGAAATTTAAGCCCAAGAAGTGTCACCTACTGCAACGATCCGTGCGCTATTTGGGCCACATAGTCAGTGCGGACGGGATGGCCACGGACCCAGAGAAGATGGCATGCATTCGTAACTGGCCGACTCCGGCCACAGTGGGGGACGTACGTCGGTTCGTTGGGTTCGCTTCATATTATTGCAGGTTCGTTCCGAACTTTGCTATGATCGCTAGGCCGTTGCACCTTCCTTACGGTGAAGGGCCGGAGGTTCAGCTGGGGGCCGACGGAGGAAGCGGCGTTTGAGGGCCTACGCGATTGTTTGGCAACGGCACCGACGTTGGACTATCCAGATTTTGATCGGCATTTTATTCTGGATACTAACGCTAGTGACACCGGGATTGGGGCCGTTCTGTCACAGTCCAAGGGCGGCGTTGAACGCGTAGTAGCTTACGGTAGCCATGTGCTGTCTCCGGCAGAGACCCGCTACTGCGTTACTTGCCGCGAACTATTGGCTATTGTGCATTTTCTCCGCCAATATCGGCCGTATCTATACGGCCGTACGTTTATTGTTCGCACGGACCATGCGGCTTTGCAATATGCCCTGAGAGTTGACCAACCGTCTGGCCA